GGTCCAAAACATGCTTCCACACCATGTTTCTTGCCAGGCTCTTGGGATGGGGGAGAGGGTAGGATGTGTTGAGTCCAGATAGCCTCTAGACTTTTTTAGTAATTTTAATTGTCTTCATCATTACTTCCTGTGAACCAAATTCGGTGCCAAAATATACATATATATACACACATATATAAACTATAATTCATTTGTTTTCTTCCTCATTTTAAGTGTCCCATTTGAAAGCTTATTGTCCTTACCAGTAGGGTTTTATGAGAGCAGAAATTTCACATTGTATATGTTCAAAACATTTTTCATTCAGAATACCCTAAGGAAGACCACCTCTCGTAATTAAAACTGATGATGTGTGGTATCATAAATAATCTCTCTAAGAGCTGATATGGGCTCAAGGATGATTCCCAGTAAAAGATGCTACATATTTTTCAAAGTAGTTAGGTCATCGACTTCTAAATCTGGCTTTTAAAGGGACCAAGAAGTATAGTGGTTTTATGGCACAAATTATAATTCAAAACTAAAACCTTTGTAGATGGTAAATCTCTATACAAATAAGAGTTAGTCTATTATTATGATAAAAATTATTATTATTATCATTATCAGAATACTTGTGGGACAAGAGGTCATAATGGCTTTGCTTGAGTTTCCACTTTTGCAGCTGGATGATCCCAGATGCATTATGGGTCAATGGATGTCTTGAACTATGTTTGAGATGTTTTGGGTTCAAACAAAGAATGTTTTGCCAAATCCTTCTTCCCTTAATTTTTAAACATGTGTATTTCAAGGGAAATTTGATTCATATGTTTCTGATTCATTTACACTTAAATCATCAAAATGTTATTTTGTAAGAGCTATTTGATGTCCAAGAAGCTTTCTGAACCTGTTTTATAAGTCCTCTTAAGTCCTTTTCCTTAAAACAGGAAGTTCATTTTGCCAAGTACAAATAAACTCAAACATTAAAAAGGTTCAAGTTCAGTTTCCAATTCTGAACGTCAGGTTTTAAGTGCATTCTCAATTTAGCAAAATACATTTTCCCACCCCTGCAAAAATATGGGCAGAAGGAAAGACAGTAGTGACAAAAGCGAGTAAAGTTATTCACACGCACTGTTATTCTCAGTTATTTCTCTAGTTGTGAAAGTTCATAAAACCTATAACAGGTGTTCTTGAAGCCAGTTGATACAGGTGAATTGCAAACAGGAACATCTGTCTGCATGCTGATTCCCTATGATGAGTTTAAATGTCTCCTGTTTTTGCCATAAAAAAGCGATACCTGAAGGTCTTAACGTTTTAACTTCATCTTTTGCAAGTCTTACCTTTGACTGCCTTTGAGTCTTATATGAACATTTTAGGAAAGGTAGGAAGAATCAACACATTATGTTGACCAGAAGGGATGCCTAAGATGCTCTATGAGAGTTTTATGTCTGTGCTAGGATGATATAGCATCATCAATTTTAAAATGGTTGACATTCTTTTCAGAATCAGAAACATGCAGAAAATTATCTCTAGTTCATATGAAGAGGTCTCTTAATTATATTGTTTTTCTTTAAGGTAGAGGTATTCAACCTTACCCTTGAATTTCCTTCTAGTTGGTTCACTTGTATAGAAAAGGGAGGCAAAGAAAATTATAAAAGGGATTTGGGACTATTCTAAACAGTTTCCTCAATGATCTGCTTTATTATATTTCAGTATAATAATAAAGTACTGTACAACTTACAGTATTTCTCCTGTACTGCTGAATAATCAAGTGACTCCTGGGATGGCAGGTATTATCAAATGAAAATGCTTCAAACATCATTAAACTATCAGTTCAACTGTAGAAGCTCCTCTGCAATGACCATCAGGCATACTTGTGTGTCATATAAAGCTGGGTTATTGAACTTGCTGAGCAAGGGAGAGCAGCACCTTGACAGAGATTGTCATATCTCAGTGGGAGAGTTTAGAGAATTTAGTATGTGTAGAGTTTAGGGGCTGTAGTTAGTAAGAGGGTTGCTTTAGAGCAGAAGTTAGTGAGGTCGAGGCAGACACTGGTAGAATTTGTAAACTAGGCAAGTTGTGGGCTTGTCTTTGGAATGTGAGTCCATGAACAGTTAATGTGAGATCATTTTATCTGTGCTCTTGTCTTAGAATACAGATTTATGGTCTGAAAGGAGCTGGTATTAAACCATGTAATTTAGTTTGCATTGCCTGTCATGGCTGGATGCAATTTGTTATGATTCATAATACAGTTTTTCTGTGAGTAGTTTTTGTTTATTTCTTAAAACAAACAAGTAAATAGCCTGTATAATACACTTATATGGCTTATCTATTTATTTATGGCTCTCAAAACAAATTTGAACTATACCCTATCATCTAAGAAATTAATGAGTAAGGAATTTTTATCATATTCTTTTTCAGACAATATTCAAAATTGCTTAAGCCTTGTTAGGCACCTATCTATCTGGACCTGTGTCACATAAATTATTATTTTCCTTTACTCCTATGTTTTATTCACTCTGAGAACATACAGAATACTAAGAGTCTTTGAGATTTTATATTGTATTTTGAGCGATTTCATGTTCATCCTAAATGAATATTTAATTGTTTTTACCTCACCTTGCCTAGAAAGAATGTCTGTTCTCCCATATGTCAGAGCCATATATGCTACTTAATAGTTCCACTGGCCTCTGCCAGGCCATTGTGGCCATTGCCTTACTAGACTCTGGTGTGAAATGTGTACTTTGAGCTATGGCTGTCACCATGTTTCCTGGTCTTGGCCCCCTCCCCTGCCTTGGGGAGGTGAATCTCCTCTTTTTCTCTCTCTTTTTCTAACTTGCTTTCTAAATAAACTATATTTTCTAGTCTAAAAAAAAAAAATAGGTGCACTAAAGTTTTAGAAAAGACTCATTTAGAAATGACTCAAGAATTGTATTTTATAAAATAAAGGGCAATGCTCTTCTCTGAATGTATATTTAAATATAAAGAGATTTTTTCGGAGAAAGAAATCTTTTATGAGAAAACTCTAAAAATAGTAACATAACTGGGAACATGCAAATTCTTTATTGAAGACCAATATATAAAATAAAAATCTTTCCGCAGCTGGGTAATCTACAATCTTCCATAGTAAATCCTCATCTAAAGACATGTGGAATACAATCAACCTGTTCAAAAGCCTTTCCAAGGGATAGGCGATGTTTGCCTTTTTGGAGTTAGATTTTATTACTCTCACTGAGGTTTATATTAATTCTTAGATAATAGCCATTGTTAGTCCCAGTTTTACATTTAAAATTTCCCTTTATAAAATATACATTTAAGCCGGACTCGGTGGCTCAGCCTGTAATCCCTCGCCTTTGGAAGGCTGAGGTGAGTGAATTGCCTGAGCCCGCGGGTTCGAGACCCACCTGGGCAGTGAGACCTCATCTCTACAATAAATCAAAATATCAGCCGGGCGTGGTAGTGCATGCCTGTAATTCCGGCTACTCGGAAGGCTGATGCGGAAGGATCGCTGGAGCCCAGCAGGTCGAGGCTGCGGTGGCCAGGAGCGGCCACTGCACTCCAGTCTGGGCGACAGAGTGAGACTCCAACTCAAAAAAAAAAAAAAATTATATATACATTTAAAAGATTTCTATTTTATTTTCCTTTTTTTTTTACTCTTAATTTTTTTATTTTAAAGATGTGGGGTACATTTCAGGATTAGATATATAAATGTTCATTATGCAGGTACCCTTGTTGATGAGGTATGCTCCCCACTCCCCTAGCAGTTTCTCTCAACTGCCAATCCCACTCCCCTCCCCTGGCAGTTTTGTAGTATTATGATAATTATTCGAGGTCCGCTAAGATTCTTATTTTCTATTGGTCTCTAATATGATTTAAAATTCAACCTGAGAGAATCTCCTAATTCTCCAACTCTTTCCCTTCTGTGACCTCATGAAATAAGCATAGGCATAGAGCTACCATGTGCTAAGTGTCTTCCTTGTACCATTATTTGGCCTGCATGAGCTCATGAACTTATCACAACCTTGAGAATTGTACAGTATGGTTGCCTCTGTTCTCAACATAGAAAAACTTAGGCTGAGGGAGACCCACCGAATTGCAGCCACCCATCCACCCACCCACCTGAGGAGGAAGCCCATGCTCTTCCCACTCTGCCTTGCCACCTTCAGCTAAAACAATTCACATATAAAAGATGTCTCCTGTTTTTTTGTTCCCCACCTTTAATTCTAGATACTATGCAACTTACATTCTAGAAAAAAAATTAAAAGCAACTAAACAAAGATTTTTTGAATAAAATTATCACAACTTTTTTACTGCTAGTTATTAAAATAAAAAATTATTATAGCTCTCAGTGTCAGAACTGAAAGAGAAAGAAATGCATTCAACGAACCCTTGGTCTTTACTGGGTTCTAATTAAGTGACTAGGAAGTCAAAATGATATCATAATATGGAAGAATTCATGAACCAACATACATCTTTCAGAAAATATATTCTTTTTTTTTTTGAGTTGGAGTCTCACTCTGTCGCCCAGACTGAAGTGCAGTGGCTGCTCCCGGCCACCGCAACCTTGACCTGCTGGGCTCTGGCAATCCTTCCGCTTCAGCCTTCCGAGTAGTTCCGTGAGCACTACCACGCCCATCTGATTTTTGATTTATTGTAGAGAGGAGGTCTCGCCAATTTGTCAGGGCGGGTCTCGAACCCACGGGCTCTGGCAATCCGCTCACCTCGGCCTCCCAAAGCACTGAGATTACAGGCTGAGCCACCGAGCCCGGCCCAGAAAATGTATTTCAAGCTGGTTACTTTCCCAGTTTGACTTCAATCAGCAGCTGTATTGTGAGGTGATTACTTTCTCAGATTTCTACAATTTGGGAGTCAAATAACCATACAACCTCTAAGATGATATGTTAGGATTTACCTATAATGACCAGGACATTTGCTTTGTTTACTAAAACCTCGGCAGGCTATAACTGCTCCAGTTTTCTATTTGGGGTAACTCTTAACCTGTGTTTGTCCCACCCCCTTTTTGTCTCCAGGACTGCCCACCAGAAGCAGGTGATTTCCGGGCTCAGCAATGCTCTGCTCATAACGATGTCAAGCACCATGGTCAGTTTTATGAATGGCTTCCTGTGTCTAATGACCCTGACAATCCCTGTTCACTCAAGTGCCAAGCCAAAGGAACAACCTTGGTTGTTGAACTAGCACCCAAGGTCTTAGATGGAACTCGTTGCTACACAGAATCTTTGGATATGTGCATTAGTGGTTTATGCCAAGTAAGTACTGATTTCTTTACGTTTAATTTGTCCAGAGGGTTTGAGTGCCTTTGTGTAAATAGGTTTTGCTTGGTCCCACCATCTGAACCACTAGTTTTTAACGCTTTCTGGAGTTTATCAGTGGCGAAAAATTTGAAAATCGGGGTTTAATTTCAGTGAAAAGTAAAAGAGTTACATGTTGTGTTATGAAAAAATGTATGTGAATTTTTTTTCTTTCCTTGAGTGGCATTTGAATATGGAAGAATAAAATTCTTGAGTATTATGTGTCAATTATATACTAGACTTCGGAATTACCCCAGCTTTGTTGTTCCTAAAATGTGTGTGTATGTGTGTGTGTGTGTGTGTGTGTGTGTGTGTGTGTGTGTGTGTGTGTGTGTGTGTATGTATTTGGAAGCTTTGATTTTCATTTACTTAGAGCTTCAGAATAACTCAGGGATGACCAATCCTAAAATACCCTAGTAAACTGTGGAAGAACTTGTTGCTTCTTTACTGCAATTCTCATTGTATTGAAAATTCAGACAAACTACAGAGAAAGGCATGAAAGTGCCAGGTAGGTAAATCCTTAAAACAGGATAGTAAAGAGATTCAATTTCTGGTATCCATTCTTCACTGTCCACTTTCAGCAGGAAGTCAGTGAGGTGAGAAAGAGATTGTATGTTTGCCATGTATCTTGCATCTCTGTTTTTAGGTCCACATTTTGGACCTTAGTTTTTGGAGCAAGTCATCAGTATTACTTGTCTGCATACTATTCTTCTGCATACTTCACAAAGTAGACACAAAATTTTGAGAACATTTGCCTTTCCCAAGACAATAGCAGTAGGAATTTTCTCTCTTCAGGATCTGTAATACCACAGCAAGAAATATAATATACATTTTAGTAATTCATTGTTTCAAATGTATATGTTTCTTTAATCCTTAAATCTATATTTAAATATAAAAGGATAACAGTAGTACAAACTGCTACAAGAGCTGTGAGATGTCTTATATATACAAGAGGAAAACAGACACACTAAACCTTCATCAGGTTTAAAATGAAAAGGCAGGGAAACCAATGTCAGACAGGAAAATGGAGATGATGTGTGTGTGTGTGTGTGTGTGTGTGTGTGTGTGTACATATATATACCTAAAGGTTTTCTTATACACAAGAGATATATGAATTTCAGATATAAATCTGAATATAGAATTTTACTATTTTAAAGCTAGAAAGGGTCCTTGATATTACCCAATCAACATTCTATAGAGTCATATATTTAAACAGCATCATCAGTGATATTTGGTAGGTACTCCCTCCTCTAGAACTCTCGGTGGTGTTGAAATGAAATTATGGAATCTACAAAAGTCTTGGGAGTAGTAAGGAATTTAAAACCCGATATAGAAAAGGGGCTGTGTCATAGGGAAGAGCACATGAAGGAATAATACTTCCTTATGTGTGTACACTGTTTGAGTAAAACAAAAAAGATTTCCATTTTGTAAGTGAAAAAACCAAGGACCAGAAAATGTGCATGATCTTCTCAAAGTTGTGAGGTTGGTCATGGCAGAAAGGGGACTAAATTCCAGGTCTCATGAGATCTAGTTCAATGTTGTTTCTACTATATTACCCTGTCAAATGAACCAAAATAAACAAGACAGGTCAGCAAATTGGGTTTCATTTGTTTCTGTTGCATGAGAGTTCAACGTGGCATATTTTTTCCTAGACTAATCCTGCCAGCTGGCTGTGTACACCTTGGCAGCTGAAAGAGAATCCCATCTCAGCAACTAAAGAATACATTTCATATATAGTAAATAAAGAGTGATTTTCTGGACTTTGGGTTACGAGGATAAGCGTGCCTTAACTTAGATTCTTATGAGTGTGACTTGTCAGATTTGGGGGCAAATGTAAATTATCCCATATTTGAAAAGCATTATGACTTATACATATCTGAATTATGACTGGTTATTATTATTTCCTTCATATATTTGTCTTGTTAGAGGCAATCCTGTGGTAAAAGTGATGGAAAATCGTACTTAAGCACTAATAAGTGGTTTAGTTTGGCTGGAGAGCAGAGTAAGCGCCAGGTATGCAGTAAGAAGTGGGAGGTCATTTGGAAGAAAATCCTAGAGGCTTGACTGGCTGACAGGACTATGGTCAACAGCGTGGCCAAGAAGGAGCTTTAGTGGTGACAAGACATAATCAGACATTGCTTTAGAAAGATCATTACAGCTGCAGTTATACGAAGCGTGAAGTAGAAGGCTCTGGAAGCAGAGACCAGCTAACACAGAGGCTTGTGAGATAATTGTCCAGACATTGACTCTTTCCCCCATATCTGTCTTCTTTCTGCCGCCCCCACCTCATCCCCCCAGGGAGCAGCCTCTGGCCAAGGCTGATCTCTGCAGGATATGGTATTCTCAGTAACAATTCCTGGGGTACGGGTAATTGAGCAGAGCTGAGAACACCATGGGAGGCCCTCTTACTCACTGTGCTTGTAGCCACCATGTATCAAGTTGAATAATTAACTTGCTTGACCAGAAAACTGCTTTGCTGTACCGTCCCAATGTGCAGATTCTTTCTTCACCAACCGGCCGCCATCGGTGCCTCCTGTAAGTTCCAGTAAACCAATGTCTTGCCTTGCTGGACCGCTGGGTGACTTTTTTGAAATAAGGAACCTTATTTCAAAAAACCTCTCAGATTTGGGGCTGTGGTGTTACAAAGCTCTAATCGCAGCCAAAGTGAGGCAAAACATGAGCTTGGGCCAGGGCAATGATGGCAAAAACAGAAAGGAAACTGAGTCTGAAACCAAGAAGGAGTTTTCATTTTGATTATAACTAAGGCGCAGAGAGGGAAACAATACATCAAATTAATTATGCTCAGAGGATCAGAAACTACAACTTAACATGAATTTGTAAGGGATGTCATTTTGAATTCTTTCCACCACTACTATTAGAGTCTGTGTCTTCCTCATTAAAGTTTACTTAAATTTTATAAAACAAGTGGGTGGAGAACAGAGGACAGCAAGATGATAGAGGAATAAAATGGAATGCATAAATGTAGTGTATACTTTTTCAGAAGAACAAGAAGGAAGATAGTCAAGAAAAGAAAAGTTGAGGAACTCACTGCTATATCAAAAGAGAGTTTAGGCCAGGCATGGTGGCTCCCACCTGTAATCCCAGAACTTTGGGAGGCTGAGGTTTGATTGCTTCAGCCCGGGAGTTCAAGACCAGCCTGAACAACCTGGAGAGATCCCATCTCTACAATAAGTCAAAAAATTAGCTGAACGTGATGGCACACACCTGTAGTCCCTACTTGGGAGGCTGAGCAGAGAGTATCACTTGAGTCCAGGAGATCAAGGCTATGGTGAGCCATGATCATGCCACTGCTACACTCCAGCCAGGGTAACAGAGTGAGACTTGCCTCAAAAAAAAAAAAATTTTTAATATATAAATGCAGTTCTAATCCGAAAAAAATATTTTATATATGTTGCGTCCGTATGTTGATGAAGAGTATTTTCAGTCTTTCATAAGAAGCATCCAGAGAAAGTCTAATTTTCATATTTTTTAAAACATGGTCAGGAATCTTAATACTAACTTAAACATGCAGTTTCTGTAAATAGCTTCTCTTGGTTTCCTGGAGAAAAAAAGTCATTTTCCCTGTCCTATTTTCCCCTTCTTGCCCTTTTCTATCCCATTTGTTGGGTATCTTTACTGTTTCTCTGACTTTATTTTTGTCCTATTATAAATTCTATGGTAGCCTGCTTCAAACATCTCTGAGCCTAGGCAGATATAAATCATAAATTGTAAAATATTTGGATTTGACAATAGTCTTGCCTTGATAGAAAATGAGCTCATAGCTATAGAGATTTGTCATTTACATGTACCGATTTATTTCTGATATACCTGTTTAGTGCTCTGCTAAGAGCCACATTCTCAAAACTGTCTGAGCCTTTAACTTTTAAGTAGAACCATAGAGTCCTTGACTTTTTAGAGTCAAAAATAGCTTAGCAGTTACCAGATATTGCTGTTTCACAGAAAAGGAAACTGAGATGTAGAGACTGCCCCAAGGTCACAAGTAATTGGGTTACCTGTATTTGTGATAAATTTGCCTCAGGAAAACTCTCAAATCATTGCTATTTATGATATATACTTAATTCTTCTTAGTAATAAGAGAGCATCCTATTGGATAATTTATTCTCTCCGATAGTAGTGTTAATGATAATAGCTTCCATTTTTGACTGACTATCATATCTAGGTACTTTATAGATATCTTTGAATATTTACAAGTCTGCGTGGTAGACATCATTATCCCTATTTCACAGATGAAGAAATTGAGGCTCAGGGTTCCCAGAACACTCAGTTCTCCCTGACCCAAAACTCCCACTTCTTCTGGTGAGGCCATGTAGACAGAAGCAGGCACCATTTTACCATTTGGTAGTGGTCCCCAAATTCAGCTGCATACCAGAATCACCTGGAGAGCCCTTAAAAGACACAGTTCTTAGGTTCTGCTCCCCAGAAACTCAGACGTGTTCATTGTCTGCATTTAAAACACTCTCCTTATGCTTCTGCTGTGGCCAGATTCATGAACCACTTGTGGACTGGAAAACAGACAGGATTTAAAGTCAAAAGATACAAGTTGGAATCTGGCTTTTCTATAGCAAACTGTGTGATCTCAGTCAAGTATCTTAATCTCCCTAAGCTCTATTTTTCAGTTGTAAAAAATGGGATTGTCTCACAGACCATAGTGTACCAAGTGAGGTAATGCATGTGAAAATGTTTGACAAACTGTGAAGTGCTGTAGAAATGTAGAAGAGTGAAAATTTTAAGTTGGAAAATATAGTAAAGTAATGGTTCTCTGTATAAGATTTCATGACCCTGTAACTTGTCAAAAAAGTTTACAGAATGAGATAAAGTAACCAACTTCTTAATTGCCTAGGTGAGAACATTAAGAAAGACAGACTGGGCACAGTGACTCACACCCATAATCCCAGCATTTAGGGAGATCAAGGTGGGTGGATTGCTTGAGCTCAGGA